AACTATGTTTTTATATTCCTACCACCCATTTTATATCCAGATCCATAAATTCCAGACGATATCAAATGTTTGTTTTTGAAAAAAAAAACAATTACATACTGCCTGTAGTTTACGCGAGTAGTACACATTTAAATAAAACACTTTAACGGTTGAAAACGCGATATATATTAGTTAAACTTATTTGAAACCACGCCTGCTGCAAAGCATACAAAACATTCGGCTGTTAAATAAGTTTCGAATAAGTTTAACTAATATATGTATAATGTTTTAAACCGTTAAAGTGTTTAATTAAAAACATAAATAAATTGTTTAAATAATTTTAGTCCTACTGATCAAAACCACAATGCCCACAAACGAGCCTAAAATCTGGTCAGTAATGAAGCTTTCGACATAGTCGCATTCTCGGAGCGTGGCCTTTGAAATATGTTTCAGGCTCCACGTTCAATCAGGGCGGGAGTGCCGCATTCGAGCAAATGTAGGTTACTCGGTGCGGCATTACGGCCTACGGAGTACAGGGCGCCTCCCGCAAGGCGTAACCGCGGGTCCTGTACTATTCAAACTTTATATCATTAGTGATCTAATTAACTTTTATGCGGGACTAATTGTCGCCTGCGGTGCCACCCGAGGCTTATACCATTACATATAGATTTTAAAGTTGAGCAGTTGTGTGGCTTCTCATAAAAATAGAGTATAAATAAGTATCTCTATCGGCCTCGTTGGTCTAATGGTTAACGCGCTAGACTTCACATAAAATTTTAATTTTCTATGATCATTTTTATGCTATTGCCCTAATATCTCAGAATCACGTTAAGCCTCAGTTATCTCCGCTTGTTTAGTTGTGATATTTGCCAAAACCCACCAAATCGCACCAGAGCAGCGTAGTGGGCTAAGCTCTTAAAATCCTCTCTAAATCGAGAAAAGACTTGTACCCAGCAGTCGAAACGATAAAAAGTTTTAATAAATATGAAAGTCATACATCATACACCAATATTTAAAACGAAACATAATATAAATATCTAACGTACGCATTGTACATCCGCATTTAAAGAAAACAGTTTAGAACTCGAAGTATACTGACTTATTTTAAACTACGTCTCGACGTTTCAGAAGACACTGCTGCTGTAGAGCATCCGAAAAGTCGGATCGCAGTTAAAAATAAATTTACTGATATGCATCGCGTTTTGAACCGTTTAAAGTATAATTGAAACAGATAACATGTGTGTTTGTTATGTAATCTTATTTAAATGAATGGAAGAGGGCGCTTTAGTGTTTTTGGTAGGATTTTATTGATAGAATCAATCAGTAACGTTACGAAAGCTCTAGAAGCAAAAAAGGGCGTTTATTTATATTTTGGTCGCCCATCCACGCAGTGACCGCGCGGGCGACGCTTACCCCGCGATACCTCCCGTTGACCTAGTTAAGTACGATCGATGACACTACGTCACTCTTTTTGTTATGAAGAACGTGTAAACTTACGCTTTATGTCCCACGCCACTGGGGTATGGGGTGAATATGTGTATTATAACCCTTTTGCAAAACTGTGGTGTTTGTGTCTTTCACGCCGAAACAGGTTGAAGATAAAACGGTATGTTTTCGTCAACATGGAGAAAGATGTGAACCTTTCATATTTACAAAACTCTAATACAGCTAAGCTAATAATGATCTTTCGTATTTCTCTGCACTAGTTTAAAATGTGTTAACGGTTTAAAAATGTGATATATGTTAGTTAACTTTTTTTCAGTTAATTCTAGCCCGACGCTTCAATGCTTTACAGCATCCGCGATCTTCACGTTATTAGAAGTTAACTAATATATTTCGCGTTTTAAGCCGTTAAATATGTTGTATTTAAACATGTGTTACTCGTTCTCATTTCTTCTTCATTCTATAGAGCGTTTGTGATAATTAAAACATTAAGTATACTATATAATACGCAAATTTCATTATTATCATTTTGCTAATATAATAACGAAATTTGCCACTTAAAAGCTCATAGTCAATGTATACGTTGTGACATTATAAACGGCTGAACCCATTTCGATGGGACCAATATAAGGTTTAATACTAATATGCATCTAACAAGTTTTCAATATAATTATGACTTTTACGAAACATGTCAAACATCGTCTGCATATTTAGATGTAAATAATCGTATACTGATTTTAGTATCTCGATTTTGAACGTCTAAATCAAAAAAAAGGTCGACAACACATCTTGTATGGATGTGAATAAAGGCGTTTCTGAATTTATAAGGAAAACGAGTGAACGCTAGCGTCGTAACGAATTCGTAAACAAACATTGTTTCATTGGATTTTTAAACAATTGCATTATGTAGTGTTGTTTTAAGTAACAATTTGTGATATGTCAGCGCGCACTGAAAAGGGTATCTTGTGATCGTTCCTATCGTTAAATGTTGTCCACCATTGCGTAAACTGGAGATCCCAGGTTCCAATCCTGGGTAAATATCAAATTGTTTCGGTCGAGCTGGGCACAGATGTCTGATCTACTACATGCTAGTAAAGGAAATCGATTAGAGAAACAATTTTCAATTATTTGCCACATGCCCACCCGGAGGAAAAGAGACCTGGTATGTATTTCTGAGACCAAAGAAAGAAGAAGAAAAAGAAAAAAAAACTCGAATTCAATTTTATTTAAATTTTCAGTTCGGTATAACTTCATTTTTTTTTCAATAATTTTTTGGGAACGAACCACCGTCCGCAGATGACAAAGCCCTGAAATTTCATCGCGTTCAATTTCAGTCCGCGGCTTTTCGAAAATCCAAAGACAAAAATAGATCAAAATCGCATCTTTTTGAAATGTTGTATTGCACCGTCCATGGAGTGAACCTGTCTGAGTGTATGCTTGTCACCTTTATCATAAAATGTCTAACTAACTCGGGGTTGGAATCCTGGACTTTGCTCTACAATCGAGTGAACTCCAAGGAGTCCTACGGGGCAGTGCGTACGGTACTTTGCGTTTATTTATGCAAGATCAGTTCAGAATAAACATTTATTAAAATAAATATCAAACCAATATTTTAAAGTATTACTTATTTAAAACAAAATAAAACAGAGCGCGTAGTTGTGTCATTTTTGTTTCTTATAGCGAAAAAATGGCACAGAACAATATATATATACACTTGTCAAATTGAGACATCCGGTGACAGACAAACAGACGAATGGTCTTAGTAATAAGGTCTGATTAAAATGAAAGTGGCATTTTAAGGTAAACATTTATTCTGCAAAAAGCAGGTTAAAGATAATTCTAGAGAGCGAGATATGGACTATACAGCCCCACTGTCTAATAAATAATAAAAACAAAATGCACAAATTATTTGTAAATTTTTAACTACTTTTCGGAACCCTCGAAAGAAAACTGGGCATACCTAAATTTGATTTGTATTTATGTGGTAAAACGCATATCTTTGGAATGTAGAGTTCAAACCCGAAGAAAAATGTTTCCTTTTGGCCGGGCATAGAAGTAGTCCCAGAGAGTATGTCTGTCTGTTTGCTATCATCATGATATCATGGTGATATCCAACGATGCGGGCTACTATGAACAGTCGAACCCCCGACCGGCGTTGCTAACAAGCCGGTGAAGATCTAAAATGATCCAAATCCAGGCCTACAGATTTTATCTTAAATTGTCAAGTACTACGCAATATCTTATCTCTGTATTTCGGTCACCAAACAGATAAACATTACGACACAGCTATTTTGTATATAGTTACTCTATGTAGAGTCGCGTGGTTTACATGCGGCGGACACATTTTTGAGTCCTATAAGAATACCTTCGTTTGTGTCCTTATTTGAGGGACAAATATAAAAACTATTTTTGGTGTTTCGCTTTAACTCGTGCATATTATACACGTTTCTTATCTATTCATGCATCAACTAAAATTGTAATCCAATTAAAATTCAAACGGCTAAGACCTTTCAATTTAACAAAAATATCACGCTATAAATAACTAATTTTAAGTATATAGTCATTATTTATTTAATTTAATTATTATATAATTTATTCATACGCGGAAATATAAATTTGAGCAGTTTTCATATACATAGCTGAAAACGCTTTGAACTTTTCCTACGCCTTTACATTTTAAGTTTAAACGCACACATGAAAATCTGAAAGAATTTCCACCCATAAACGTCACAGTTTTTCAATAACATCCGCGCACGTTTTCTTAAGCTAGGCAAGAATGCGAAGGCATTTTCCGATGTTTCAAGAACTTAGTAATAAATGTGTTTTAAATGATGTATAGTTTTTCCGACTTTTCCGGTGACCGATTTTGGGGATTCATATACAATAATAGTTTTCAATACTCCGGAAAATTTTTCAATCGCAAACAGCTGATAACATCTGACAGAAGGAATAGAAATATTCAACGCTGAAAAAGCCCTAATGAGTTTTCAGTAGAATTACGCGACTGAACTTCGTGGTTTTCTTTATAAAGAGGTAAATAAAGAACCAAAATTAAGATAAAAAATTGTCAATAGATAATGTTATAGTGTTAGCAACCTTTACACGTTTATTAAAATCGGTCAAGTCTTTTTTTATACGAAAGGGAACAAACATCCACTCTTTTGCTTTTTTTAAATATAACTAGGATTCTATTTAGGTATATTTCGCGAGCGGTTCCGCACTAGGTCTTAAAACTCGACATAACATTTCATAATTGCATTTTAACATAATAATAATACTAAAGTCATTACATTTCGGTGTGAAAGTTTAACAACTTCACGGTAACCCGTGTACAAGAAAAATATTATAAATTCTCCCGGCACCTCGGTAGGAAATGTTCAATTATTCCTCTCGCCAGTTACACACGTAAAACCGCGGGGCGTAGCTATATACACAAAAAATATATCTCCTGAAAACATGTGTTCTCGTAGCTACTACAAATTGTAAGGTATTTGACGTTCAAGAATAATACGTCATCAAGCGGTACCAGTATTTCATTTGAGCTGATAGGCCGCACTCACAGCATACGAAAATCTCACCTGGTAAGTGTCATCTGGTTTACCAGGGTACGATGCACTGCGTCTGTAGTCCGGCGGCCGAGGCGGTGCCGGAGCCCTCCGCCACTGGGCGAAGGCCGAGGGCTGCGGCAGTTGGGGGCTCGGCCATCTGTACTGCGGAGGCCTGCGAAACGGGGCCCGATACTGCCTATCCTCGTCGACGCTTTGCGCGCCGGGGTAATGTAATTCACCCATATATCCGTCCGACCACTACAGCGGTCGGAGCACAACTGGCCAGGGGAGGATACAGCGATGATAGTAGGCGAGTGGATAGTATTCGGGTCGGATCGTACTCAAAAATATCGTACGTTTTTACAACTACGTAATATTCAATTCACGAGAACAGCAAACATTACAATAGTACATGGTTATAGAATCAGAAGGTTTTTATAACAATAATTTTCATGTTGTATAGAGTTAATAAACTTAGACACAGCACATAAAGGGTTTTAAAGAGTCATTAAGGCCGTAGTGTGGCAACGAAAACGGTTTACATAAAGTGGTAGGGGGCTTCTTAACCGGTTTTGAGTAAGTTTCATTAAGACTATGTAAGTAATTAATTTAAATAAATGAGTAAAAAAGCAAATTTAACATATCTTTAATTCCAGTGGCGCAAAACGTCATCATCCAACTATATCTTTATCAAGTAACTACGAGTTAAATTTCTTGGAAAATAGACGTAAAACATTTATAGCATATAATTTTCCCTTTTATAATAAACATATCGTCAATTGTAATATGTATCGTACGTACTACTCGAAGAACGGATACTACATCTAAGATACGATGATTATAGTACCACACCCAGCCCTACCTGCTGTTATCAACGATCGATAAGTGCGCGCGCATATAATATACTGATTTTTTAATCTGTCCCAGCATAGTTCGGGAAACCTCCGCGGCGCTGCTGTTCTGACGTTTAGGAACTGGGACACCACACAATGTAATGTTATGTAAAATAATTGGGACACAGAATGGGGTGCTAACCGACTTTCAAAATTTGAGTAGGCTTTAATTGGGAATTTGGGTCATTGTTACCTTACACATTTTAAACCTTATTTTAGTAGGTATAAAAGTATTTACTATTTTTAAGAATTCTTAAGTACTTCGCTAATTCGAGGTAAACAATTGTTAAGGGTATTATTCCAAAGTTTTTCAAGTAAATTGGATGTTGAGACATCAGTGGAGATCTAGCCAACTTTAATTTTTTTAGAAAGTACATGTAATAAGAGATCTAAAAAGTAATTTACTTAATACAATGCTTAGTTGAAAACTAAATGTTCAGAGTGTGTGTTACCAGTGATGACGTACGGTACCGAAACAGGTCTCAGAGCATGGTGAAACTAGGTCTGGTGCGATGGAAGGGCTTTGGGTTACCCTGCGCGATCGAATAGGAATGAGGAGATCTAGAAAAACTAAAGTCACTGACATAGCCCATAATTGGAAGCTGAGTGGAGTGGGTGGGCAATGCTGAAGAACTGAGGCCGTTGGGGCAAAAGGTTTGGGGTGGAGACCACGTACCGGACGTCGAAAACCTGGACGACCTCCTACCAGGTGGGCCGACGACCTGGTCAAGGTAGCGGGGAAACGCTGGATTCACTGGCGGACCGGTCGTACTGGAAGTCTATGGGGAGGCCTATGTCCAAGTAACGCTAAACGGCTATACGTGAAATATTATTTTGAAATCGACAATTAATCCTTGTTGATCCCGTGGAAATAAAACCCCCGCAACTGTATCAAAAACGGTCGAGCCCTTTTTGTGTCAAAGAGAAACAATCATCTATACATGCTTTGCAACTAAACTGGCTATTATCCTTTTATAAGGATTCGAACCTACGTTCTCTCGCGCTCTACGCTCGGAGGCGCCCCACGTGTAGTTCATAACAGTAGGGTTGTTGTGAAAATTGTGGAAAAATGATTTTCATTTAAATTTCCATTACATAAAGCAGTACTGCGGCTGATGCAGTTTTGCTGCGGCATTAAGGCTGCAGTGAGTTTACGCTAAACCGCCTCCAAGGCTCAGCTGTGTTGCATTGCGATATGCAAGAAGAAACGAATTCGAATCCCGGGAATGTGCGTCTGTTTCACTGATCAATTTTATTTGCAGACTAGTTGATGATGCAAACCCAGGTCCTCGTGTCTGCACACACCTTTAACCAATGAACTACTGGGGCGATCGAAATCCCGGGACTTGGTTAGATACATCCGCCTAAAGAACATAATGAAATGTTTTATATTAACTGTAAGCTTTGTACGAAACGTGTCTTACCAAAACTGATGATATTAAAAATTTATATATTTTACTTCGACTAAATTAGTATTATTAAATAGTACCAAAGTTGTGGAGTCGTTTGGTAGATGGCTTTTTACTTACTTGCGTATATTTGAGTAATATATTCTTAAATACTGTGTATAGTTTACGCGAGTAGTACACATCTAAATAAAACACTTTAAGGGTTAAAACGCGATATATTAGTCTCCCCATGACCCCCGCTGCTGCAAAGTATCTGAAACGTCGGGTCGAAGTTAAAAATCATTTTCAAATAAGTTTAACTAATATATTTCGTTTAAAACCGTTAAAGGGATTTATTTAATATATTCTTGTAAATGAAAGTAGAAGCTTTGGGAAATTTAATACTGATAATTAAATTTCCAATCCAACAAATTGATTTTCATGAATTATTGTATTTATTTAGTCATATTACGAGGAATATTGTATATAGTTCTATTACGGAACATACAAATTTACATAAATATGATATGTCCATGTGATAATAAACTCTTCAAGATTAAAAATAAATTAACTAATATCTTTCGCGTTTTAATCCGTTACAAGTGTTGTATTTAAATTTATACTACTTGCATAAACTGCTGACAATACTTAAATGGTCGGAAATTAGAATTTTCTTTAGTGTCGGAAAATGTCGCTAGGTGTCACCTACTTTTACACTGACAACTGACTACTTAGTTTCATTAATATAACCTAGAGGACACGATTATTAATAATAAATCTCTTTATTTGGCATTAATTTAGTACAATGAGAGAAAAGATCAAATATAATTGCCATAAAATAATTAATATAAAAATATTAATTTTAAGAAAAGTGACGCCGAAGGGGTCTTGAGTCGGTAAAATTTGCAGCACAGCTATGCCACACCGATTTTCAGCAAAACCCTACTGTGCGTCTGTTACATACACATTAATTTCACACCATAACCTTTTCTTATAACACTCGCAAATGTTTTAGTAACAAGTTCTAGGGCTCGTTAGTCTAATGGTAGCTATAATCAATAAGTGATGGGTTTGACGCCCCTCGAGTTACGTTTCTAATCAATTTATAATTCTGAACATATTGGACGACTGAGAGTCGGGATATTAAATGGATATTCCAACCGAATATCAAAATCCGAATCCGAATATTAATCGCGGTTCGGTTTCAG